AACAACAAAACAGAAGAAATGCTTTGAAGCTCACACACAAATAAGCTGGAGCAGTTTGCTGAAATAACGTGGAGATCCATCCAAGCACACTAGAAGACCACATAGAAGAATACTCTGAGACTGGCACTCAAAGAGCTTGGCACATATATTTCTCTTTAAGATACTCTTACAGCAGAAATGCAACAGGAGATAATAATGCAGGCTATAAATGACAGGCAGTAGAGCCCATGAACCAGATGAGCCAACAATGTGAGTAAGTAAAGGCTATAACCTTGGAAAGAAGCAAGTCCTTTGCCAGATTTCAGCCCTCTGTAAGATAAACAACAAGGTATTTTCTGGACGACTGTGAGTCCTTCTATTGAGGTGGCAGTGGAGTCTTATTATCTCTGTGGGCTGTAAGTGTCTGTAATTAGCTAGTCACCAATGCTCTAACAGAGGGTATTTTGGAGTAAATATATTCTAATTGTCTCTGTTGGGTAGCTACAGTGATTCCATAGAAAACAACCTTCACACAGGGTATGCTCAGCTTGGAGGCATTGCTCTCTGCTCTTTCACTCATTCACAGAATTTTAATCCTGGATGCCACATAAAGCCAAGGTAGATGTGCTACAATTAAAGACAGAATAAAAATGAAATGAACCAATAGACCAAGGTTAAAAACTGGAAATAACAACAGCTAATTAGTTCCATAGTTGAAAAGAGAGAAGCCCCTGTGCTTCTGTTCAAGAGGCTACTGCTGCTATGAGAATATGCTGGTATTCAAGCAATGTATTTCTCTATTTCTATTTTTTTTTAATGAAAATGATCATTTTTATTATTGATTCCCCATTGTTAAAGCTCAGTGTTTTTCAGTCTTCCTATATCATCTATGATGCCACAGTAATCAGCTACTTCTCCCATACCACAAAAGATTATTCTGTAGTGAAAACAGAAATATTAATTAGTTAATGACAGAAAATTGCTTGACTCACAGACTTCATCCTCTTTTTCCCTAGCTAGAGGCTAAAGCAGTCATAAAAATTCCATTGACTTTTACCCCTTCCTTGCAATACTGGTAATAGAGATGCTCACACACTTAGAGAGCCAAGTTCTCCTGTAACCCACACCTGCAGAGTTAGGGGAATGTGTCCTACTATAGATACATATTTATGGCTAATGACAAAAAATGATTACTTAGTGTCCTGGGTTCAGCAGCAGCAGTCATTTTTCTCCTTCTTGGTAGCTGGTGCAGTGCTGTGTTTTTGACTTTCTGCCCGGGAAAAGCGCTGATAACACAGATGATTTTAGTTGTTGCTCAGTAATGTTTACTCTGACCAACGACTTTCTGAGTCTCATGCTCTGCCAGGGAGGAGGGGAAGCCGGGAGGAAGCAGAGACAGGACACCTGACCCAAACGAGCCAAAGAGGTATTCCATACCACAGCACGTCATGGCCAGTATATAAACTGGGGCAGCTACCCGGAAGAGCTAGATTACTGCTCAGGTCAGGCTGGGTATTGGTTGGTGGGTGGTGAGCGGTTCTATTCCCTTCCCTTGTTATTTCCCTTATCATTATTATTATTGGTGATAGCAGCAGTGGTTTGTGTTATACCTTAGTTACTGGACTATTCTTAACCTGTGGGAGTTACATTATTTTGATTCTCCTCCCTATCCCTCCAGGAGCAGGGCAGGGGGGGAGGAGGGGGCAGAGGAAGGGTGGGTGTCAGCGAGCAGGCTGCACGGCAGCTGGGCTTAAACCACAACACTTAGAAAAGCCATTATGCTACTCTATTGTCAGAACGTGTTATATGCAAGGACCTTGGCCACATGCTCCTGGGTTCATTGGGAATGTATATAGAAGTGCAAAATAATTTAATTTGACTCACACATTTAGGGAAAACATAAAAGGTAAACATTTTATATATATATGACTTTTTTTAACTTTAATGACTCAGGTCCAAGACATGGGATACAACCCTAGAGCAGGGGTCCCAAGACTGTTGGCTGATATTCAAGGTTGAAAACTGATGACACAAAAATAATTTCTCTGTAAAGAAAACAGTCTCAGCCCAATGTAGACCAAGGAAATATTTTAATTTCCCAATTCAAGACCTATGACCTGAGAACACTTCCCCTTCCCTATTCTTCCCCTGCCCCTTTCTCCATAGAAACTTCACATGTTAAGCTACATTTATCACTAAAATTTAAATAGCATGCTTGCTTTCTTTCTGTAATGCGTTTATGGTGTTTCATGTATGATCTTTTGGATATACATTTGTATGCATTAACAGTACCTATGTGAAATATCATATATTTCATAAATGCATATCTTATTATGTGGAGGTGTAAACCTTGGGAAAAGTTGCAGAAACACGTGATAAATCAATTATTTATGCCTTCTTTATTGCATCACTGGCCAGATAATTCTGTGTTCCCTGGAGCTTTATTCTAACATTCCAATCCAGTGAGCAGATTACAGCATCCATCATTCATTTGAAATCAACAAGCCAAATAAATATTTCTTCCACCTGCCTCAAGTGTGAAATGTCACCTCTTTTCTACAAGCACCAGTAAGATTCAGTCTTGTCCGGGGGGGGGAGGGGGGGGAAGGAAAGAATGAGGGGGTGTGGAGTAGAAACTATGTGGCTGACTGGGTTTAAACCATGACAGTTCTTTTTGGTGCCCAACATGGGGCACGAAGGGTTGAGATAACGACAGATCTGTCCGGATTAATAGTCACTCATCACAATGCTGATTTATTGGCTCTCAAAGTTGTTTCTCTTGATATCACAGTTTCAGAATGTGGTACCTTACTTAGATGTTGCCTTCGTAGGCGTGGTGACCTGGTTCAGGAACGGCAGGGCGACCAATCCCAGGCCGCTCGGTCCATCAGCTCACAGACACCAATATGGTGGATGGCAAATGGTGTTTATTAGTGAACAACACGGCCTTATATTACTTAGGTTGACAATGTCACTTCCGTCTACCGTTGATACTAGCTGGTCCCCCTGATTTCCTGACGGCGCGGCAATTAGCATATCGTCCATATATTGAATAATAGTCGCGGTCAGGTTACTGTGTCAAACCGGTGCCAACGCCCAGTCCACTGTGATCTGATAAACAGTGGGCGAATTGATCATTCCTTGAGGCAACATTTTCCGTTGGAAACGTAAATTGGGGCGTTGGCTGTTTGGAAATACAACAGAAAAAGCAAACCGTTCCTTGTCTTCCTCATGCAGAAGTATGGAAAAGAAACAGTCCTTAATATCAAGGACAGCACAAGGTTGTCCTTCTGGTATCATAGAGTTCATGGGCAACAACATTTGAACAGGACCCATTGGTTTAATTCTCTTGTTTACTTCATGCAAATCATGAAGAAGGCGAAATCCCTTGCCGTGTTGTTTGGGTATTACAAAAACTGGGGTGTTCCATGGGCTAGTGGAAGGCTCTATATGACCTCGTTGTAGTTCACGGTCAACTAGATCAAGAAGAGCATCCATTCAAGGCTTTGACAGGGGCCACTGCTCGACCCACACTGGATCAGATGATTTCCATGTCAGTCTAATGGGTGGAAGTGGGTATGTGGCAGTGGCCCTTACAGTAAATTTGTCACCCTAGATTTAATAGGACTAGAGCGTCCCTTCCCAACAGGGGTGGGACTCCTGACATGACATATGGAAAAAGGGCAGTAGTGTTCTCCGGTCCCTTTTCAGTATGAAGCGTTATTGCTATCAATTGAGCACTCTTCCGAGCTCGGGTTAATTCCCTGACTTCACCCACAATAGGGGCATCTTCCAATTTCCAATTCGAGGGCCAATTCATCTCAGGGATAACTGTAATATCTGCTCCGGTGTCAATCAAAAAGGGGATACTAATGGTAGTGCCATCTAAGGTATTATAGAGGGAACAGATCCCCCACACCACCAGTGGACTGTCACAATTTACTGCCAGGGCCACCCTGGGGTCTCGCCCCCAAAGGGTGGTCCTTGCCAACTCTGAGATAGAAACAGATTCGACTGGGTTGTTGGTTAAGCCATAAAGTTGGTCGCTTCTCAAAGAGGCAATGGGTTCGATGGGGCACCTCGCTCCATCCGGGGTCGGCATAGTTGGGCCTCCTCGTGTCCCAAGTGGGAGAGGGCCGTGCACGGCCCAGATGCCCTCTCACCCTCCCGTTTCCCTGAGTTTTAAATCTACATTCTTTAATGAAATGCCCTTTCTATCCACAGGCCCAACACGGTCCTCTGGGTTGGTTTTGGCGTGGGGGGAACACTGTTGGCGGGTCCTCCAACCGAGGGCAGTTTGCTACAACGTGGCCCGCCTGACCACATTTAGAGCATACCATCACACTAACCATTATGGTGCGAACAGCCGCCTGTATTGGGGCTAAATGCTCTTCATTCGCGACATGCTTAATTATGTCCGCGATGCTTGAACCCACCGACAGTGATCGCAGAATTTCTTCAGTTGTTGAATTACACTGCTGACGTAAACATTCTGCTACGACCGGGCCCTTTGCTTCCACAGGCAGGGTCGAAGAGTCGACCGCTGCCTGGAGACAATCCACAAATTGTGTAAAGCTCTCACTTTCATTTTGCTTTATTGTGGACCATGATGATGGTTTAGCAATAACTCCAGAGGCTGTGCGAATAGCTTCTCTGGCTGCACGAGTAGTTGTCATAACTTCATGGGCCTGCAAGCCCTGGGCTTGTGCCTCGGAGGTAATAACTGTGGGATCTGTACCCATTAACTGCTGCAGGCTGGAGCCATGTAGTAGGTGATCCGCCGCAGTTACTCAGGCCAGCTGTTTTGCGCAGTTATCCTCCCATTCTTGTTTAAAAACAATAATTCCTGCCCCATCGAAAATCAATCCACAAATTTGTTTTATATCAAACGGGAGCATATCATCTCCCCCAAAGATACCATCTATAAGAGTGGAGACCATAGCAGAATTAAGGCCTTTATCTGCAGTTGCTTTAACAATCGCTTGTACATCCTTAGGATTTATTGGCGAAGGGACCCTCTGTCCCGCAGTGGCTGCCCTGCTCAGAGGGACTGCCCAGCTATGGAGTCCTTCATGTGCTTCCAGTTGTTGTAGAGAGCGTAGAGGCCAGTCAGTGTCAGACCTGCAATACCACCTCGTACTATCCCACGCACTCCACCAGTGCTTTTGTAGAGCATTCCTGTCAAGGTTCCAGCAGCAATGGTATTCAGGTCATCTTCTGCACCTTGTGTTTTTTCTATGATGACTTCAAATGCACTTTAAAGTAGAGCCAGAGGTCCCAGAATGTTAGCCCATAATGCTCCCTGCCATGTCACCATATCTAGAATTTGTACATTTCTAGGTTTTGACCATGCCATATTCTGTGTCTCTTTCAAGCCAAGTTGCAAGCCATTCAGTGCACCGAATGCTGCTCCTGTCATACAACATCCTCCAATGGTAAAAAAGGCCAGCTCAAATCTGCCTCGAGTTTTGTTGGCTCCTGTGGGCAAGATAAATTCATCTGTATCCTGTACTAGATATCTGGGGTCCAAGTTTAAATATGGGGACAAAGGGCTCATTCCAGTTAGTAGCACTCCAGCCAGGTCAGCGTTGGAGTAGCCAACCCCGCCGGTGCCCTTGGAGTTGCTACAGCCCTCCATGGCGCCGCGGGGCCTCCCGGGTTTTGGCACCACTTGTTGCTTTCGTAGGAGTGGCAGCCTGGTTCAGGAAGGGCACGGCGACCAATCCCAGGCCACTCGGTCCATCAGCTCACAGACACCAATATGGTGGATGGCAAATGGCGTTTATTAGTGAACAAGACGGCCTTATATTACTTAGGTTGACAACGTCACTTCCGTCTGCTTCTGTTTACATCATAGACTAAACGCTATTGGCTATCCGGAGAGGGGTCCTATCTTTCCGTACAGTGCGACATCTTCCGACCGACAAGCCCTAACTGCCAACACTTAGACCTGGTATTTGCTGTGTTACTGTTTATCAAGTGTGGGGCTTGGGCTAAGGTTCTTGCCTCACTGGATTTTATGGCAGTAACTTGTAATACAGGCGGGCTCCTGCAGCAGGGCGGGACGGACGTGGCCATGGACTGGTACCTGGCCATCCCGCTGCTCTTCACCGTCCTGGCCCTTGTCCTCGCCTCTGTCTTTGTGACAGGGAGCCGAGGGGGAGTGGACCCAGGAGCCAGTGGTGGCTGAAGCAGCCTGGGAGAGCGGCCCCCGGGACCAAGTGGCAGTGGGATCAGGGTCGGAGGCCGGGAAGGAGGCGGGTGCTGAGCAGAGGGAGAAGGCAGCGGAGGAGCCGAGCCCTGCAGCCAAGCCCAGCCCCACAGCAGCCAAGAGCAACCCCTGGCAGCCACCCACTGAGCTCCACGAGCCTGAGCCCCAGGAGGATGCAGGAGACCGTGCAGCATTTCCCAGCAAGGCAGAGGAGGAACATCTGGACTCAGAAAAAGAGAAGCTGGTGGTGGGGGAACCGGCAAGCACAGCAGCTGCACCAGCCCCAGTGACAAGTACAGCAGCATTGTTAGAGGGTTCTGAAGGTTTTGAATGGCCTTTAGGTACCCTTGGGACCTGCCTGCTGATTGTGATGGGGATCAGCATGTTGGCACACATTTTGTCTGATCTCAAAAGTTAAATACAGTCGTTTTGAGGTCTTGTCTAGGGTTAGACGACGATATAGGAGGACCAGGAGATTTTCCCCAAGGCTGGATAGTCATGAGTGGCAGGGTGTGTGGGACAGTAGGGGCAATTATCTAGTCCACTGGGCCCCTCCAGTGCTTTGGAAGCATTGGAGATGGAAGGCAGCTGTATGGAGTCCCCAGCAACAAATTGCAGAAGTTGCTGAATGGGAGGGTGAATAATTTTGGGCCTGGTGGGCCCATGGCACTTCAGGCCATCAGAGCAAAGATACAACATTGAGATGGGCTAGTGATCAAGGGGTGGACTTAGCAATATACACTATTGCCCAGGTAATTCATGAGTGTGAACACTGCACACAGCCTCTCTTGCTCTGAAAGACTGTTACAAGAGATGGAACCTGACATCATGGACAGAATGGACTCAGCAGCTTTATAGGGACCAGTCCATGCATTAAGAAATGATCTTTCTCTCTGACTGTGCATGTATGTATATATGTAAGAGCGATGGTATATTGAAAATGTGGGATCTGAGCATGACATGAATGGTACGGAATAAGGGGTGGATACTGTCCTGGGTTCAGCAGTAGCAGTCAATTTTTTCTCCTTGGTAGCTGGTGCAGCATTGTGTTTTGACTTTCAGCCTGGGAACACTGATGTTTACTCTGACAAAGGACTTTCTGAGCCTCATGCTCTGCCAGGGAGGAGGGGAAGCTGGGAGGAAGCAGAGACAGGACACCTGACCCAAACTGACCAAAGAGGTATTCCATATTACATCACGTCATGCCCGGGGAGGTAACTGGGAGTTACCCAGAAGGGCACTCTCTGTTTGGTCTGGTTCATTTCGGCGGGTGGCATCGCATTCTCTTCCCTTGTTATTTCTCTTGTCATTACTATTATTGGCGGTAGCAGTAGTGATTTGTGTTATACCTGAGTTACTAAACTGTTCTTATCTCAACCCGTGGGAGTTACATTCTTTTGCTTCTCCTCCCCATCCCTCCCGTGAGCAGGGGGAGGGGGAAGGAAAGAGGGGGGTGGGGGAGTAGGAACTGTGTGGGTGACTGGGTTTGAACCACAACAAGCCTTAAAAGAGCTCCAGATTTCCCTGCTATAAAAGCTTTAGAGTCTAACAGCTCCCAAAGCAAGGAAAATTGTGTCATCAAGGCAGGACATTCCAATGCCCTCCTTACATCCACTCCAAACCTTGGAAGACCCCAAATCATCTACCTTGAATGCAGGTAAATCACATAGAAGTATTTAATCAGAAATACATATCACTACAGTCCATGCTTACTTGAGTTTCCTAGGAAGATTCACTAGATGCTTTGTTAGTCTCTGAAGCCCTCCATGGAGGTCAGCCTCATGTACCCCAAATATTGCCTCCCTCTCTACATCTCAGATCCTGCCAGAAAATATCTTGCAGGGGACAGCAAGACAAGACAGAGAGAAGAGCAAAGCGGAATTTGTAAGGAGGTTTTCCCAAATGACAACATTTGAGGAAGTGGCAGACAAGAGGAAGGTCACATAAAATAACAGCTTCTGGGTTAGCAGCACCTATGACTGACCCCTGAGTCAAGTAATCGGTTTCACCTGGTCACAAAAGTTATTTAACACTGGCACAGACTGTCTGGTTCTTTCATAAATAAATACTCTATAAAGAGCATATGCTTACCATATCCTGAGCAGCATCCTTCATGTATTACTCTAGTATACTAAATTATCAAAAATAAGGATTATATTCATAGATAGAAAAATGCCATTTGTCCACTTCCCTCTTAGAAGCAGCTTTTCTGCTTCACCTAACATCCCTGATCTACCATTTTCTGAATTTGACATTTTCAATTCACTTATATTGCATTTTCCTACCCTAACAGTTTAAGTTAATGCCAGTTGATACAGACATGAGTGAAACTGAAACATTACTAAACTTTAGTGTCTTCATATCCAAAAAAGAATATGATAAGAAGTCATCATCTAAAAACACGTAAGGAATTACAATGATAAGGTTACACTTCAGCTGGGAAGCAGCATCTGATTTAGCTTTCAAATATAAACCCAGAGAAGCCACAAACCAGGTGACACTCAAAGTATGCTAATTAATCAGAATCTGTGGATGCTTCCTAGGCATGGATCCATTTTTGTTTAATGTGCACCTCCAGTGGGGGTATTAAGTAAAAAAAACAAAACACAACAAAAAACAACCAGGCTATCTTCTGTGCATTTTTAAAAGGAATGATGAATAATTCAATTTTAAGGAAGAAAGCATAGGAACAATTAATTCAATCTTTCCTTTTCACTGTATTATTCATGTTGGCCTTTTTTTCATAAGAGGCAAGCACATCTTTCTTTAAAGAATTAATACTTCTAGAACAATTGTTTTCAATTACAAAATCTCAAAACATTTTTGAAGCATTGAGTCTCATTTTGTGAAATAAAATTGATAAGAAAACAGGAAAAGACAAAAAATTCATAAAATTTTAATAACATTGAACAATGATTTTTGCAAAAGTGTTACAGACTATTAGTATTTTTTCCTATGAGCTGTTCTATTTAGAGAAAGAAAAATGTTAGTCTGTTAAAGGATCTAAATTAAAAAAAAAAAATTGCAGCCTCTTAAAAACAACAGAACTTTAAAGAATAATTCTACTCAATGGCATCATTTTCCTTGACCTTCACTTGTTCGGAGCCGGTATGCTGCTGGAAAGGTCAGCTTAGACAGAAGTAAATGTTTCCTTCAACAATTCATAATTATTTTTCATTCTGCTTTATATTTTTTTCATAAGCCATTTAACATTCATGCTCCATTATATAGTATACTGCAGAATTACAGCTTTTTTAGAACCTGGTTCTGCTTTTGCTTTCGCTTTCCTTTTGTTTTCTTTAATTTGCTACTGCCAATCTTTTCTTCCTTTTATTCAGTGTTGAAAAAGAAGTATGGATCTCACTGGTCCTATCAACAGTTGTGATGCAATCTGCTGAGAAACATGGCTCTTCCTTTCTGTTCTGGGTTCAGCAGTAGCAGTGATTTTTCTCCTTAGTAGCTGGTGCAATGCTGTGTTTTTTACTTTAGTCTGAGAGCAACGCTGATAACACATGTATGTTTTTAGTTGCTGCTAAGTAATGTTTACTCCAATCACAGACTTTTCAGTCCAGGGAGGAGGGGCATGGGAAGCCGGAAAGAAGCAGAAACAGGACACCTGACCCAAACTAGCCAAAGGTTCCATCCTACAGCATATCATGCCCCAGTATAGAAACTGGGGAGGGTTACGCAGGAGGCTCAGATTGCTGCTCAGATCAGGCTGGGTATCGATCGGCAGGTGGTGAGCAATTGCATTCTTTCCCCTTGTTATTTCCCTTACCATTATTACTATTGGTGGTAGCAGTAGTGGTTTTGCATTATACCTTAGTTACTGGACTGTTCTTATCTCAACCAGTGGGAGTTACATTCTTTTGATTCTCCTTCCCATCCCTGCAGGAGCAGGAGGGAACAAGGTGGGGCTATGAGCGAGTGGCTGCATGGTTCTGAGTTACTGGCTGGGTTTAAACCACAACACTTTCAAAGAAATGCAGCAATTCCAAGTGAAAAAAAAAATCTTCCCCTTCTCCAAATATGAGCAAGCTTTTAAAGGTCTCAGGGTTTTGGTATTCATTCTTTTATTTTGCTTTGCCTTTTTTTGGTTGGTGATTTTGTTGTTTCTTTTTTGTTGTTGTTGTCATATTTTTTTTTTTTTTGATTGGTTGATTGTTGGGTTGTTGTGGGGTTTTTTTTGGTGTTGAGGTTCATGTTTTCAAATTCTCTCTGGAACAACGGGAAGCAGAAAAATGCACTTTAGTTGGCTCTTGCAAAGCTGTATCAGCCTGGCAGTTCAAGCTTTATAAATACTACCAAATACTGCAAGGAAATAGGAACTAGGGAAATAATTGTGAGAGAACATTCAAGACAAACTGCCTTAAAGGAGACAAATTTTATTAGAGAAA